AAGGATAATGATTGGTTTTTAGATTCCGGGTGCAGCAATCACATGAGTGGAAATAAAAAGTGGTTCACACACTTAGATGAAGAATTTCGACATCGAGTAAAGCTAGGCAATGATACACGCATTGCTGTGATGGGAAAAGGGAGTGTTCGGTTGGTGGTGAATGGAGTCACACACGTGATAACTCAGGTCTATTATGTTCCTGAACTCAAAAATAATTTACTGAGTTTAGGACAACTTCAAGAAAAAGGCTTGTGCATAAATATTCAACATAACAAGTGCACTGTTATGCATCCTAAGAGAGGGCAAATTATGACAGTTAACATGAGCAGTAGCAGAATGTTTGTGCTAACAGCAACCATGTCTCCAGAAAATACTACATGCTTTCAAACAACACTAGAACAGACTTCTCAAATATGGCACAATCGGTTGGGACATTTAAGCTATGATGGCTTAAAAACTCTTGTGTCAAAACAACTGGTGAGTGGGTTGCCATCCATCACCACACCTCAAGATCCATGTACTCATTGTCTTGCAGGAAAGCAACATCGTCATGCTATGTCAAAGAAAAGCTTATGGAGAGCATCAGAAAAATTACAGCTGGTTCATGCTGATTTATGTGGCCCCATTCAACCTTCCTCCAGTAGCAATAAGAAATACTTCCTAAGTTTTATTGATGATATGTCTCGTAAGACTTGGGTGTATTTTTTGAGTGAGAAGTCCGGAACTTTTTCTTTGTTTAAAAGTTTCAAATCATTGGTGGAAAAGGAGGTTGGGACCAATATTATTTGCTTACGAACAGATAGAGGAGGTGAATTCAATTCTAAGATGTTTGGTGATTTTTGCAAAGATCAAGGCATACAAAGACAGTTGACAACAGCCTATACTCCTCAACAAAATGGAGTTGCTGAGAGGAAAAATAGAACCATCATGAATATGGTTCGATCAATGCTAATAGGGAGAAATGTTCCCAAAAGATTCTGGCCCGAGGCAACAAAATGGTGTGTTCATATTCTTAATAGAAGCCCTACTACTGCAGTACACGATAAAACCCCCGAGGAAGCTTGGAGTGGAATGAAGCCGTCTGTTTCATATTTTCGGGTGTTTGGATGTATAGCTCATGTACATACACCAGATCAAAAACGTGTCAAATTGGATGACAAAAGTAAACGATGCATTCTTCTTGGAGTGAGTGATGAATCTAAGGCTTATAGACTATTTGATCCGGTAAGTCACAAAATCATTATTAGTAGAGATGTCATATTCGAAGAAGAAAAAAGTTGGGATTGGGAGCAACGTGACAACACCAGGCAACACATAACTTTGGACTGCAGTGAAAATACAGAACAAAACAGTGAGATCGAGGAGCAGCATGATCAAACTGCAGTATTTTGTTCAGAACAGCCAATAATGGAAAATATGAATGAAGGGAGGGCTAGAAGACGTAGAAGGGAGCCAGTTTGGATGATTGATTATGAAAAAGGAGAAGGTCTATCCGATGAAGACAGTGAAAATGCAATGATTGTGCTGGAAGATGATCCTGTGACATTTGAAGAAGCTGTCAAAAATAAAACATGGCGGGAAGCAATGAAAAGAGAGATGGAGGCCATAGAAAAGAACAAGACATGGGAGCTAACAGACTTGCCAACAGGAGTTAAACCAATCGGAGTCAAGTGGATATTCAAAACCAAACTCAAAGAAAATGGAGAAATTGACAAATTCAAAGCTAGGTTGGTGGCAAAGGGGTATGCACAACAATATGGAGTGGATTACACAGAAGTCTTTGCACCAGTGGCCAAAATGGATACCATACGCATTATCCTTTCAATAGCAGCGCAATATGGTTGGAACATTTTTCAATTAGACGTGAAGAGTGCATTCTTGCATGGGGATCTCAAAGAAGAAATTTTTGTGCAGCAGCCTACTGGTTTTGTGAAGAGTGGCAAAGAAGAAAAAGTCTACAAGCTTAAAAAGGCTCTATATGGGCTCAAACAAGCACCAAGAGCTTGGTACAATAAGATAGAGATATACTTCATGAGCAATGGCTTCGAAAGATGTTTTTGTGAACATACATTATTCACAAAATCAAAGGGAGGTAACATTTTAATTGTGAGCTTATATGTAGATGATTTAATATACACTGGAAATGATGAGAGCATGTGTGATGATTTTAGAAGATCTATGATGACAGAATTTGATATGTCAGATTTAGGAAGAATGAGATATTTCCTTGGAGTAGAAATTTTGCAACATACAAATGGAATTTTTGTGTGTCAAAGGAAATATGTTCAAGATGTGTTGTCACGCTTCGGTATGAAAGACTGCAATGCAGTGAAAAATCCTATTGTACCAGGTACAAAAATGTCAAGAAATGATACAGGACCCAAAGTGGATGCTACTTTATTCAAACAAGTGGTTGGAAGCCTAATGTACTTGACTACTACACGTCCAGATATAATGTATGGGGTGAGTTTAATTAACAGATTTATGACCAATCCTACAGAGAATCACTAGCTTGCTGCTAAAAGAATACTAAGATATTTAAAAGGTACTGCTGAATTCGGAATCTACTACAAGAAAGGAGAGAGTACTGCTATAACAGGCTACACGAGATAGTGACTTTCTTGGAGATATTGATGATAGAAAAAGTACATCAGGTTTTGTATTTTTTTAGGGTCTGGACTGTCTCTTGGTCATCCAAAAAACAACCGGTGGTTACTTTATCTACAACCGAAGCCGAATATATAGCAGCTGCATCTTGTGCTTGCCAAAGTATATGGATTAAGAGAATTCTGGAGACTCTTGGCTTCAAAATTCAAAGTAAAATTCTGGTGTTATGTGATAGTAATTCAGCCATTCAACTATCCAAAAATCCAGTCTTCCATGGTAGAAGTAAGCATATAGATATAAGATTTCATTTCTTGAGGGATCTTGTCAAAGATGGAAGCATTGAACTAAGTCATTGCAACACCCAGAATCAAATTGCCGACATAATGACCAAGCCCTTAAAGCTAGAGCAATTCCTAAAACTCAGGAGCATGTTAGGCATGATTGAAGCATCTGAAGTAAACTAAATGTTTATTAGACATTCAGTTTAAGGGAGAGAATGTTAGATATTTTGTGTTTTGTTATCTTTTAAATTGCTGTTAATAAAAGGGTCAATTACGACCAAGTATTTAGGAATTGAGCTATTTTTCAACTCATTAGTTTTACAGTTACTTCAACCCACGTCTCCTATATGAAATCAGTGGGTTAATTTCTATTCTGTTTCGATTTCTTCCTATAAGTTTGTATTCTCTTCCAGAATTCAGCGAGAAAACATAGAAAATAGTGTGAAAGAGCATTTTTCAGTTCTATTATCTGTCTTTTGTTCACACAGCTTCTCCGACTACCTCACTGTTCAAGGTTTTAACGAGTGGCCTCACACTAAGAACAATGTACTGCTGTTCATTGTTTTAATTTTCTAATGCAACAACAATGTAGGCTACCCTAAGTTTTTTCTTCTTTTTTTTTCCTATTTTGCAGAATGCTGCAGAGAAACCTCCTTTCTTCATGCCTAGCTGGACTGCAATGTATGTCTTCAATGTTTTCATTATTGGATGGGTTTTAGTAGTTGGATTTGGGCTTGGAGGATGGGCCAGCATGATTAACTTAATAAACCAAATTGATACATTTGGACTTTTTGCTAAATGCTACCAATGCCCCACACCATCACCGCCACCCGCAGGAGCACCACCCCCTCTTACCCATACGGTGGTGGAGGGAGGAGTTCATCTGGCAGGATCATCGTCTCCTCCAAAATTATTAAAAATTATTTAAATATCAATAAAAATAAATTTATAGTTTCTCTAAGATATAAAAAATAAATAAATAATTGTCTAATATTTTTCTTTCTTCATGTTATATGTAGACTATACACAATGTTTTATTTTATATACAATAAAAGATGTTAGTTTTATGTTATGTATGCAGATTATTTTTTTCCTCTGCCTCTTGAAATTAAAGTTTTAGCTCTATATTTGTGCTCATCATTTGACATGTTTTGTAGACAATTTGTGTCCAATTTTTATCATAATCTTCAATTTTTTTGTATGTTATATAAAAAAAATACATTTTATATTGATTATAAACAATAAATCTAAATACATAATTCTTAAAATTGCAAAAGGTGACAAAATTTTAATTCAATTATTAAATAATATTTGTAGAAAAAGACTTTTGTCGACTAATAGTTATAGGATTTGATCAAGAAAGATATTTCATATCATATATTAATTTATCTAAATGTTTTTCTCGATGAAATCATTATGTTTATTTATTATATCGGTTATATAATATAAAAAAAATGATGAAATCCTTTAGACTGGCATCCTAAAAAATAAAATAATAAATTTTACCGTATCATGTATTTCATATATAAAAAATATAAAATAAAAAAAATACCCTAAAAATCCATCACTTCCTCTATTTTCAAATTGACCTTTACAATCACATAAGAGACGATTGAACAGTGCACAACCTTTTGAACTCAAACCACGTTGCCTTTTGTGACAACAAATATTGCACACAAGTTATTCTTATTTGAAAGGAATATTCTACAAACATGAAATCTAATAATGAGATTGCAATCTATGAGCATAAAAGGAAATCGAAAGCAAAATCTTACATATCGCACAACCTAAGGGAAAAGAAAAGAAGAAGAAGAAGAAAGAAACCAAAACATAGAGTTTAATTTTAATTTAATTAGCCTGTGCATTTGATAGCAAAGGAATCATAACATTTGACACACTATTTTTAATGAACTAATCTTACAAGAAGGGAGGGACAAAATGCTATATAACAAAGAAAAGGGACAAAAATAATGCAAAAACCAGCCAGCACACACATGATATGAAGGGGAAGTATATGTTCACCATTTTCCCCAATGTATAATACAAAGTATTGAGGAAAATGTGACTGTTGCTGAACTTTACTAGGTTGAGGTGAATGAGTCAGCTTTGGCTCTAATGATGGGCATGAGGGGGTGGTGCTGCCACAACATGTGGTGGTGCTGGTGGAGGGCACTGGTAGCATTTAGCAAAAAGCCCAAATGTGTCTATTTGCCTTATGAAGTTTGTCATGCTGGCCCATCCTCCAAGCCCAAACCCAACAACAAAAACCCATACAACAATGAATGCATTCAACACATACATTGCTGTCCAACTTGGCATGAAGAAAGGAGGCTTCTCTGCAGCATTCTGCAAAATCAGGGTAAAAAAAACAACAACAATCTTAGATAGCTTAGGATGCCCCTTCACTACTATTGGTGCATTACTCGCAAAAATCCCAAAAGTCACCAACAATAATGCAAATCATGAGATTTAACCAGATTTTCAAATATTGTACGAAGATAAACTAAGATATCATGGGGAGGCCCCCCCCCCGAAATACTATCTCAAAACCATGGAGATTTTTGTCACTTTCATTCATCATTTTCATAACCATGATTTTCAATCTTCTTTACACATACTCCTTTAAATTGAATAATATAGTATTTACACCATCCTCTCAAAATCCATCAAGACACAAAATAAAACTGAGAGACTAAAACAAACAAACTCCCGTATGAAACACTCTCATTCTGTTTCAATAAAATTAATTATATTATGTAATATTATAAAAATATATTATTAATATTAATTTTCTTTGATAATTAAGTCTGGTATTGAAGCTACATTATTCGCACAGGAATCCAACTGTAGTAAACAACTATACGAAAATGACCCACCACCAGCTTCAATACTTGTCGTACAAATTTCCAAATCTAAGCCTTAAATGCGTTGGTACATGGTTGCTACGTACCACTCTCCCACGCCCCCACGATGTTTTTATCTTTTCTATTTATATTCAATATTTATCAATTTTATTATAACTAATTTCTATTAACAAATTTAGCTAATTATTTTTATCACAGTCTCCCATTTCAATTATATTTTATATTCATTTATGCCACTCACATACCTCTCACTTTGATACCCATTTTTTCATGACACTTTTTATTTGGAGATGAGTTTATTTTTTATGGCATCTCCTCTAATGTGATAAATATTTAAAAATGAATGGAAAATGAACATTAATTAGATGGTTAGCAAAGAAGAGATGGAGGTGGGGCAGGAATGGAGATTTACCTGTCTGGCAGAGGCTTTCCTGTAGGTGAGCATATGGGCTAAGGAAGGGATGATGTAGACAGTGAAACTAACGAGCAGAGATCCAACAGCTGAATTTATGGGGCCGAAGAAAGGGAAGATTATAGCCAAGAACCAGATAGGTATCACCACTGGCAATCGTGCAAGTGCCCTCAAACAAATACTCTTTGTGTCATGCATTCCAATCACCTTCTCCCACACAAAATACAATGGAGTGCACGCAAACCCAAATGTGATGAACTGCATTCACATTTTACCTTGTTACTCTTTTTTCCCACTACTCTAATTTCAGATCTCACATATCTCATATAAACATAATAACTCCACTTCACACTTTTTCATCCAAACACGTGGCTTCCTTACCTGGTGAATCAGCATCAGGATAACGGCGGCGTCACGGAAGCCGGACTTGGGGAGGAGAGAGAAGGCGTTGGAGTGGTTAAGAAGCATATCACCGAAAGCCCAGTAAACGGCGACGGCGGAAGGAATAGTTAGTGTGTAAACGTACAAAGTGGCGAGCAAGTAGATGTACTTGAACTTTTGGGGCTTCCACATCGCATGCATAATCTCTCTGCAACGTTTGTCACCATTATCACTTTATCAATAAAAGATATACCTCAAATTTCACACTCAAATCTCTCAACAACATTGAGCCACTGTGATTAATAATTTAATATGGCTTCAAACAAAAAATGCTTTTAATAGTTTCTTAAAGTGTTAAATAAAAATTACATCATTATATCTCCCATAATATAAAAATCATGAGATTACATCCAAAGCTATTAGACCTGCACTTTTAAAATTATAAAAATAAAAAAATGTATGTGTTTTTTAATATTTTAAAAGTAATGAATTAGTCTTACAATTCGATAATTATGTAATTATAAAAATAAATAATTGTCATTAGATATTACAATTGATCATTAAAAAATTTAAATTTACTAAATTTAATAAAATGAATAAGTACTAAAAATGCACTTTTTTTTTTGTTAAAACTATAATTTTTTTATGACTCTTTCTTGACTTTCTTGTACTTTTGTGTCATGAACTTAACTCGTGCAATTAACTATAACTAGAACTCTGTGCAGGTTTGGGGACAAAAGATACAGTAGGAAGTAGGAACCGACCAACACCAAATAAAAAAAAATGTAATTTTTTCGTTTATTCAAAGTATAATTAATTTAGAAAGGACATACATACTATCACAAAATGGAAATAATGGCCATTCGACAGTGGAATTTTCCTAGAGATAAGGAGGGACAGAGGTGGTAAGACTTTTGAAGTCAAAAAAAGTAGCGCAATAGATAGCAGATTTTGCATGAATTTTTGGTTTTGCCCACAGATCTCGAAAACCGAGATAACAGGCAAAAGCTGCAAAGAGAAGCAGCGTGTAAACTTACACAGTCACAGCATGTCCTCCAAACGTATAGAGTATGTTGGTGGCTCCAGTGAAGTATAGCACTAGCTTAGTTGGAGCCGAGTGTGTGACATTTTCCACCTAGAAACATGATTTGCAAGTGTTGAATATGTTGTCGCATTCAAATTGACCAATTGTTATGGTTGTTTCAATTGAAGGGAGTGTCATGAAAAGTGTTGCTATAGACAACTGATATAGTTAATTATCACCTGGCCATGAACAATAGCTGCTACAGCAAGGTACCAAGCCGTGTAAGTGGTCATTCCAAGACCCAAAAATGACCAGATTCGGTAATTGTGGAAGGAAGGTATGAAGACAGTGGTGGCACAGCAAGCTCCAAATATATAAGTCCAAGTCCGTTTATCCAATTTGTCATTTATGTAATAGATGTTACTGTTTGCATCAGAAAAGAAAAAAGAAAAAAGAAAAAAAATGTTGAAAATATATGAGAAGTTTAGACCCACTTTAGATTATCTCTAGTTGCCTTAAAAATCGAAGCACAGATGCTACCTTGCACATGCTATAAGCTGTATCACAGATCCAAAGAGGAGGAAAGTACAGTTGAAGGCTAGCCCCACTGCTTTCCAATATGGACCAAGTAACCCATCAAGGACTTCGAACCACTGAAATCCAAAAAACAGTGTAATTCTATTTAGTAACTGTTGTTTCTCTTGATACAGATTAGGAACCAGCGGTGACGGAAAGAGAAATTGTGAAGGCTGCACAACACAACTGACCAACCTGAATGACATGGTTCTTGAAGTTGACGTTTTCCTTTTCCTTTCTGGTGCGGTACTCAACGTAGAGGACACTGATTAGATAAGCAGTCCAGCTTCCAATAATTCCATAGAACACCTGAAACAAGATGCCTGATAGCATGCCAAGTTGAGAGAAGGAGTATGGGAGTGTCAAGAGCACTTGAGCCACCTATAAAAATGGGGGAAATTTCATTGTTAAACATGGACTAAAAAGAACCAAGAGAGTTACTTTATGAATTTCTTTTTTCTTGGTGTTATGGGTGATGAATATTTGAGTCTAATGGATGGGATGATTTACTTGATTTGAGGCACAGCTGAACCATGCATCCCAAACAGAACCACCATGCCAAAGGATGCTCTTGAGACTGAACATGGAGTGGTCTTGCTCCCTCTCTTCTTCCCTTGTGCTTCCCACTTCATGTTCTGTCTCGTTGAGGTTGCTGACTATTGCTTCCTCTGCTTGCTTCTGAGACAACATTGTCTCCCTTATCCACAAAAGCAGTGTCTAGATCTGAAAAATATAAAAGGACACTAAATGAGACAAAAACCATGATATAAAACGCAGCCCCAGAAAACGAAAGCCAAGAAAGACCCCAGATCCAGATAACTGAAAATTCCTTTGCAGAATTCCAAATAAAAAATAATAACAAAAATGGAACAAATTCAGTTTTCTTTCTCCCCCACACAAATCCAAAAGAAAAGAGATGGGAGGAAGAGAAAAAAAAAAAAAAATTGTGGGCACAATCTCTTTACATTCGTTTTACTCACTGATAAGAGAGCAAAAGCTGAAGAAAATCCGACAATAGTAATCGCTTTCGAGTAACTTGGTTGAGATGTCTCTTTCTCCTAAAGCTTGAAGGAAGAAAATTCAGATGACAGATCCTCCTTCTTCTGAATGTCTTGGCTCTTTGTACCCTTTTTATTTATTTTCTCTTTCTTTTCCTACTTTTTCTTTGTTCTCAATTGAGCTTAGTACACTGCCAGTGATGGGTAGTGTTGATGACTATGAATCTCTTGTTCATAGATTGTGGCAGAGAAAACTTTAAATGTAAAAAAATTTTGAGCTTCAAAATCTGACCATACCCTATGGAGTTTGAAAAAAAATGAAAACTCAGCCCAATAATAGCCACCTCTATAAAGCCACCACCACCAATTGACACATAAATAATGCAAAGCAAAATCCCCCAGAGACTGCAAAAGCAGAAGGGAGAGAAGAGAAAACTCTGCAGAGTTACAAAGTTGGTGTTTTTGTTTTTGGTCCAGAGACTCCGAGAATGAACTATATAAAAGACCCTTTTCGTAACTATTCAATCAGATATATATATATATATATATATATATATATATATATATATATATATATATATATATATATATATATATATATATTTGAAGAGGGTGCTTTTGTTTTTATAATATATAGACAAAAGAAAAGTAGACTGTGAAAGTGTGAAGCAACCAAGCAAGTACTGTGTAATAATGCTCGTGTTGCTTTTTGAGGCTGTCTTTTTTTCTCTTTCTAAACTCAACGGAGAAAGGTAGAGATGAGAGGGATGAAAACTCAATTCACTGATTGTTCCAAATTCTGATTCGATTCTTGGTGGTGATGACACAGAATTTGGAAAATCAAAGGGACTGAGACATTGTTCTAATCAGTAAGAATTGGAGTGACTGAATGAATACCATAGAGACCCTCAAAAGCAGTTTCAACGGCTAAGATAATAAATTAATAATTGAAAATATTGTACCCCGCTTTATCATCTTGTTTTAGATCTCATTTCATGGTTTTAGATCTTCAACACAACTATCTTTGCTTGTGTTTGGCAACTTTTATAAAAAAAAAATCTGGATATAATTAAAAGAGTGTATTCCAACTTTTATAGTAATCTATGATTTTGTGGTAAGAATTTATGATATTTAAAAAACTTTATTCTAACTTATGATTAAGTAATTTTTTTATGTTGTTATGTATTTATTTTTTAATTTATCTAGATAGAATAAAGTAGTAGTCTTTTATGGTCAAAATAGGTGTTTTGAAAGGAAAAGATACCTAAACTTGTAACATAAAGTAATGACTGCTAATTATATGAATTAGAAATGAGAAACTAAAGTCTCTTAACGTATAATTTCTATGTCATGTGCACCATTTCAAGTAAACTTGAAGTTTTCATTTTAAAAAAGTAGTCATAATCTCATTAATGCAAATAAAAACTTTAAAAGTTAAAACCTTGCATTCATCTTTGACTTTTATACCTTACAAATTTAACCATATAACATGTTGCTTAGTTGTCCTTCCACGCCTATGGTGAGATCCAAATCTCAGTCAAGAATTTAATTATTTCAGGAGTTGAAAATCCCGATTAATAATTTCCTTTCATATGAAGGAAATTTCTACAAGATCCCATAAATTATTATTTAATATTTAAATTGGGTAATTCACACATATCATTATTTAATAGTAATTTTGAGAAAGGTTGTGTGAAGTTAAGTTGTTTAAGTGTTAGTGGTTTAATGATGAAGTTCCCTGTGTTCCCTCATCGATTGCAAGACAGTGACTCACTCCATTGTTCGCATGAGGCGCGTGCCGCACACTGCCATCGAAAATAATTCATGTGCCATAATTTATAACCAAACCGTCCCCGTCAACTCAAGCTATACTATATCTTTTCGTACAATTTTACTTTTCTCTATTATTATATCAAATCAAATTAATCTTTCTATATAATGACAAGCTTTGTATTAGAACTTAATGTTTTCAAATTTTACTGATGATTAATTACATCTTTTCTCACTTAATTATTATTATTATTTCTGCATTTTGTTGTATATTTATTTCACTAATACATCAAAACTTTGAGGTGTTTTATCAATCAATATTTGAAGATGCAAGAGTATCAAAATGATAATTTTTTTTAGTTTACCCGACTAATCTTCTTCTTTTGTATTTTTTTTAATTTGATTTTGACACACGTGGAAAATAATGTGATGTTTAAATTACAGAACATATTTATTAGTCAATTTTAATTATTTCATCATTCATGAAGTCAATTAGTTTATAAGAATGAAAAAATAAATTCTTTTAATCCTAAATAATAAATAATTATTCTCTTTGGAGACTATATTTTTCTTGAAGCATCTTTCATGAATTAGTTATGTCTTGGTAGGAAACTCAAATGTATTAAGTTGATACGCAAAAAATAAGTAATGAAATATCTCTTTTCAAGATGGGACAGGTCTCCAGAGAATAACAAAAATGGAATGATTGTATTACCACTTTTAATATCTTTTTTCAAGATGGGACAAGTCTTCAGAGAATAACAAAAATGGAATTATTGTATTACCACTTTTAATATCTTTTTTCAAGATGGGACAAGTCTTAAGAGAATAACAAAAATGGAATGATTATATCACCATTTTTTTTCCTCTCCCTCATTACCATAATGATCCGTCTTAAATATTTTGTCTTAAGTGGGTCCAAAGAAAATGAAATGGAAATAACTATTAAAATAACTAAATAGCCAAGATAAATCTATTTAGTAACAAACTCGGTCATCCAATTTCGGGCTTTCTTGTTCCTTTTGGGTTTGTTTTCTCCTTCAACAACACTTGGCTCAATAATTTCCTCTTTAATTGGTGGTTCAGTATCAATACTTGGCCCGTCAAGAAGGACCTTGTCCTCGAGGTCTAGATTAGGATAAGTCTCCTTGAGTAATTGTAAAGACTCCCAAGTAGCTTCACTTTCAGATTGTGTTGTCCACTGAATTAGGACTTGTCGTAGAGGAGAACCATTAGAGGTGACGATGTGAAACCCGAGAAGCTTGGCTGGGGTGAGCACGGATGAGGACCCAGTGTTGAAGGAGGTAAAGGACGCTGCTCAAAAGGGAGATCTCCATGGCAGCGCTTGAGGATGGAGACGTGGAAGACAGGGTGGATCCTCGAGTCTGAAGGGAGTTGAAGCTCATAAGCGACCTTACCGAGTCGGCGGAGCACCCTGAAAGGCCTAAAGAAACAGCGAGCAAGCTTCTGAGAGGATCGTTGTTGAACAAAAACTTGGCAGTATGGTGTGAGTTTGAGGTAAACCCAATCCCCTTTAGAAAAAACAATGTCTTGTCAGTGAGCATCAACTTGTTGCTTCATGCAGTGTTGGGCTCAAGCAAGATTGTCCTTCAACTGACGCAAAAGATTTTGTCTGTGAAGCAGGTTTCTTTAACAGGAGCAATTGCAATGGAGCCTAGAAGGATATCTAACACTAGAGGTGGAGGGCAGCCATAAAGAGCTTGAAAAGGCGACATCTGAATCGAATAATGGAAGCTTGTGTTATATCAGAATTCGGCTAAATGAAGAACTTTTGACCACAGATGAGGCTCTTCTGCCACAAAACAACAAAGATAAGTCTCCAGACAATGATTGAAGAATTCAGATTGACTATCGGTTTAGGGATGGTAAGTGGTGTTGAACGCTAGCTGAGTGCTCAAGAGCCGAAAGGTCTCCTTCCAAAACTTGTTAACAAACACCCTGTCTCTGACTAATATTATTATTTTCGGAGTACCATGAAGCTTGCATATTTTAGAGACAAAATTTGTTGCCAACATTAAGGCAGTATAGTGGGTGGGTAAGGGCAAGAAATGGGCGAACTTAGTGAACTGATCAATGATCACCCATATAGTAGTGAAGCCCTTAGAGATGGGCAAGTGAGTGATGAAGTCCATAGTAATGTCCTCCCACACCTGAGTAGGTGTCAGGAGTGGTTGGAGCAAGCCTGAGAGCTTAGCAGTAGAGTACTTTGATTGTTGGCAACTGTGACAGTTTTTGACATATGCCTTGACATCTTTGTATAGACCAGCCCAGTGGAAGGTGGAAGTCAAGCGTGCAACCATGGCCTTAATGTCGGTGTGGCCAGCCATCAGAGTGTCATGAAACTCGAAAAGAAGTAGGTGTTGCAGATTGGACTCACGAGGGACATGAATACGGGAATCAAAATATAACAACTCATTCAAGTAGGTGAACTTGGCTCTGAACTTGTCATCATTGTGCCACCTTTCCACTAATTTCTAGCCCTGTGTATCGTGTAAGTAAAACTTTCTTAATTGAGACAGCAAGTTAGGAGTAGCAGTAGAAATGGCAGAGAGGAAAAAAGATTCAGAGGCAGAGTGTGTGCGTCATGACAGAGCATCAACAACACGATTGTCCACACCAGGTGTGTAGAATATTTCATAATCAAAGCCAAGTAGTTTAGTGAGCCATTTATGCTATTTGGGAGTTTGAATGGATTGTGTCAACAAATTTTTCAAGCTTTTCTAGTCTGTATAAAATCGAAATTTCCTTCCTAGTAATGATGCCACTTCTTAACAGATTCAATGATGGCGAACATTTCGCGGGCATATGCGGAGGATAATTGCATTTGAGGGCACATCTTCTTACTAAAGTAAGCAACAGGGTGAGATTTCTGGGAAAGGACCGAGCCAATAGCAGTGGAGGAAGCATCACACTCCAAATCGAAAGGGATGGAGAAGTTTGGAAGCTGTAAAATTGGGGTAGTTGTCAAAGCCTTTTGTAATTGTGAGAAGGCTTCGTTGGCTTCAGTACTCCATAAAAATGTAGGGGATTTTAATATATTTGTAAGTGGAATTGCAATGGCTACATAGTTACGAACAAACTTTCTGTAGTAACCTGAGAGACCCAAGAAACCTCTCAAGTCTATCATGAATTTTGGTTTGGGCCATTCCAAAATTGCTTGGATTTTAGAAGAATCCACCTGAACACCAACACCTGAAATAATATGACCCAAGTAGGACACAGAAGTGACCCCAAACGCACACTTGGAATACTTCACAAAGAATTTTTTATCAAGAAATAATTGTAAAATCTAACGCAAATAAGTCAAATGCAAATATCCCAATCTGCTGAATATATTAATATGTCATCGAAAAATACTAGCACGAAACGTCGCAAAAATGGCCTAAGTAAGTTGTTCATTGTCGCCTGGAAAGTAGAGGGTGCATTGGACAGCCCAAAAGGCATAACAACAAATTCAAAATGTCCATCAATGGTGCAGAATGTTATTTTAGAAATGTCTGCCAGAGCCACACGAATATGGTTAAAATCGAAATGCAAATCCAAGCAAGTAAAATAATGTGCACCATGGAGCTTGTCAAGGAGCTCATCAACAGTAGGGATTGGATATCTATTAGGAATAGTGATAGCATTCAACGCCTTATAATCCACAAAAAACTTCCAGGAGCCATCTTTCTTCTTCACAAGAAGAACTAGCGACGAATAGGGACTTGTGTTGGGTTTAATCAA